TGTATCCGCCGCGTTTGTGCAGCCGAATGGAAGAGAGCCGAGCAAACGTTTGGTCTCACTGTAATTAATGTGCGTGCGTGCGTGCGTGCGTGCGTGCGTGTGTGTGCGCACGCTGAACTGATAGAGGGACGGGCATAATTGCTAGCTTCGCGAATTTAATAAACTCCAACACGCATGGAAATCATCTGCTGTTTACCCTACTGCAATATTACTACCTGTCAATTTTGATAATAATACTTTACTGGCCTGCGTTGGAGCAGGATCTCACAACATTACCTCGCGAAGAATTTAGAAGGGCTTGACCGCTACATTATACGTCAAGAGGTGTATCTACCAAGAATATATACGGTCTTCCTTGTTTATTCGCTTCGACGTTATCTGCCGGTAAAAGGTTGTGAGTTCAAACGTTTGGTTTTCGTGGCATATATATACACATGTGTATATACCATTTTATCGGGTTGTCTATGATCGCGGTTAAACCATCTTCTGTAGTAGCAGCACATTTCATAGAAGGTCATGCTGGCAGAAACGGTTGTTACAGTGCCACCTATCGAAATCATTTTATTTGTGCGCGCGTGCGTGAGAGTGTGAGTGCGACTGTGCGTGCGTGTGACTACGAGTGTGTAAACAGTTGGATGAAGACCCAGACCTTTATCATTTTATGCAATTGTATATATACCTATAGGTACCTCACATGTACGCAACAGGGTTAATAAAAATTAATGATTTATACTGAAGTTGACGTGCCTTTATGTTGTTACTGTGTTTTCGTTGGCTAAATCTGAGGTATAATGTTCTTGATATAGAAAGGTTTTAACAGGTATCGCGAGTTACTAGGTTATTATACGTCCGAGGGGGAGAGGGGATGGGAGACTGAGGAAAGGCGGCAGGGAAGAAAACTGTGGGCGGTAGAAGAAGAAGAAGGCTGAGCGAGGGACAGGGGAGGCTAGGGGAATGACGCGAGGGCATAAAGTAGGTGTTTTGTACCCTACATGCTAGGGCGCTCTCCTAATTATAAACGCTGGTCTACTGATAAAACTTTATTGGGGAAATCTGCGGAGATACCCCCTAAATCATTGTAAATGCATATTGATCACAAAATATAACTCATCTGGTGAGATATTGCGCATGCGCTAACAGACTAACATAGCCAGATTGTGTACTGGCTGGTATAAGCAGCGGGGACTTTACATGCAAGGTCTTCCTCCTATTTCTTAAATGACGTCTACTGATGGAATGTTATCATATAAATCTATGCTAGGATAACTCCTCTTCATTTTAGATGCATAATCTTTGCAAAATACTATTGCTCTCGGGAGATATTACGCATGCGCGCGCACCGTGTTAGGCGTGCAGTGCCGTCTGAGGCAAACTTTATAATATAGCTTGCTGCAGGGGAGAGGGGATGGGAGACTGAGGAAAGGCGGCAGAGAAGATAGCTGGGGGCGGTAGGAGAAAAAGGAGGCTGAGCACGGGAGATGGGAGGCAAGGGGAAGGACGCTAGGGCAAAAATAGGTGTTTTGTATACCCTACATGCTAGAGCACTCTCCTATTATTATAAACACAGGTCTACTGATAAAAGTTTATTAGGGAAATCTATGCGGAGATACGTTCTAATCATTTTAAATGCATATTCATGACAAAATATAACTCCTCTGGTGAGATATAGCGCATGCTCTAACACACTAACGTAGCCAGATTGTGTACTGGCTGGTATACGCATACGCAGCCGAGACCTTACATGCAAGGTCTCCCGCCTATTTCTTAAATGATGTCTACTGATGGAATGTTATTATATAAACTGCAGTGCCGTCTGAGGAAAACTACATAATATAGCTTGCTTCGGGGGAGAGGGAATGGGAGACTGAGGAAAGGCAGCAGGGAAGATAGCTGGGGGCGGTAGAAAAGGAAGGAGGCTGAGCGAGAGACAGGGGAGGCAAGAGCAAGGACGCGAGGGCATACAGTAGGTGTATTGTATCCTACATGCTAGGGCGCTCTCCTAATTATAAACACAGGTCTACTGATAAAGGTTTCTTAGGGAAATCTATGCTGAGATATCCCCTAACCATTTTAAATGCATATTCATTACAAAATATGACTCGTCTTGCGAGATATTGCCCATTCGCTAACACACTATCGTAGCCAGATTGTGTACTGGCTGGTATACGCAGCGGAGACCTTACATGCAAGGTCTTTCTTATATTTCTTAAATGACGTTTACTGATGGAATGTTATTATATAAATCTATGCTAGGATAACTCCCCTTCATTTTAAATGTATAATCTTTGCAAAAATATCATTGCTCTCGAGAGATATTGCGCATGCGCGCGCACCGTGTTAGGCGTGCAGTGCCGTCTGAGGAAAACTTCATAAAGTAGTTGTTTTGTACCCTACATGCTAGGGCGCTATCCTAATTATAAACACAGGTCTACTGATAAAGGTTTATTAGAGACATCTATGCTGAGATACCCCCTAACCATTTTAAATGCATATTCATCAGAAAATATAACTCCTCTTGTGAGATATTGCGCATGCGCTAACACACTAGCGTAACCAGATTGTGTACTGGCTGGTGTACGCAGCGGGAACGTCGACCTTACATGCAAGGTCTTCCTCCTATTTCTTAAATGACGTCTACTGATGGAATGTTATCATATAAATCTATGCTAGGATAACTCCTCTTCATTTTTAATGTATAATCTTTGCAAAATGCGATTTCTTTCGGGAGATATTGCGTACGCGCGCGCACCGTGTTAGGCGTGCAGTGCCGTTTGAGGCAAACTTTATAATATAGCTTGCTGTGGGAGAGAGGGGATGGGAGACTGAGGAAAAGCGGCAGGGAATATAGCTGGGGGCGGTAGGAGAAGAAGGAGGCTGAGCGAGGGACATGGGAGGCAAATGGGAAGAACGCGAGAGCATAAAGTAGGCGTTTTGTACCCTACATGCTAGGGCGCTCTCCTAATTATAAACACAGGTCTACTGATAAAAGTTTATTAGGGAAATCTATACGGAGATACCTCCTAACCATTTTAAATGCATATTTATGACAAAATATAACTCCTCTGGTGAGATATTGCGCATGCTTTAACACACGAACGTAGCCAGATTGTGTACTGGCTGGTATACGCAGCGGGGACCTTACATGCAAGGTCTCCCGCCTATTTCTTAAATGATGTCTACTGATGAAATGTTATTATATAAATCTATGGTAGGATAACTCCTCTTCATTTTAAATGCATAATCTTTGCAAAATACGATTTCTCCCGGGAGATATTGCGCATGCGCGCGCACCGTGTTAGGCGTGCAGTGCCGTTTGAGACAAACTTTATAATATAGCTTGCTGCGGGGGAGAGGGGGTGGGAGGCTGAGGAAAGGCGGCAGGGAAGATAGCTGGCGGCGGTAGGAGAAGAAGGAGGCTGAGCGATAGGCATGGGAGGCAAGGGGAAGAACGCGAGGGCATAAAGTAGGCGCTTTGTACCCTACATGCTAGAGCGCTCTCCTAATTATTAACACAGGTCTACTGATAAAGGTTTATTAAGGGAATCTATACTGAGATACCCTCTAACCATTTTAAATGCATATTCATGACAAAATATAACTCCTCTGGTGAGATATTGCGTTGCGGGGACCTTACATGCAAGATCTCTCGCCTGTTTCTTAAATGATGTCTACTGATGGAATGTTATCATGTAAACCTATGCTAGGATAACTACTCTTCATTTTCAATGCGTAATCTTTGCAAAATATGGTTTCTCTCGGGAGATATTGCGCATGCGCGCGCACCGTGTTAGGCGTGCAGTGCCGTCTGAGGACAACTTCATAAAATAGCTTGCTGCGGGAGAGAGGGGATGGGAGACTAAAGAAAGGCGGCAAGGAAGATAGCTGGGGGAGGTAGGCGAAGAAGGAGGCTGAGCGAGGGATATGTGAGGCAAATGTGAAGGACGCGAGGGCATAAAGTAGGCGTTTTGTACCCTACATGCTAGGGCACTCTCCTAATTATAAACACAGGTCTACTAATAAAAGTTTATAAGGGAAATCTATGCGGAAATACCTCCTAACCATTTTAAATGCATATTCATAACAAAATATAACTTCTCTAGTGAGATATTGCGCATGCTCTAACACAGTGACGTAGCCAGATTGTGTACTGGCTGGTATACGCAGCGCGGACCTTACATGCAAGGTCTCCCGCCTATTTCTTAAATGATGTCTACTGATGGAACAACCCATCAACAACCCATTCAACATTCAACAACAACCCAGCCCATCTTCGGTATAAATCGTTCTTCCGTCCTGGTACGAGACGACCAACACTCACGTTTTCGAAGCCTATATGCTACTGCTGTAGAGTGAATTGAGGCGAACAGACCTAAACCACAAGCGAACCACAGCACGAGCTAACGACATTTACCGTGCTGACACGTAGTCGTACTTTTGAGTCTAGAGCTGTAAACTTTTATTTCAATAAATAATGTTTCTCTTTGTGTTCCTTGTTCGTTTCCCAACGCGGAAGCATGTCATATTTTTTACAATCTGACTTTATTCCCATTATTAATTTACAGCGACATAATACGCAATTTATACCCAGTGGCTACGGATTTATATGACCGGACGCATAGCCACGGCCAAAATCAGCCACGGCATAGTCAGTAACCCTGAGGCCCCGCAGCTGCTTTCACAGTAAATGCTACAGTAGGGGGTTAGTCCACTGGTAGGTCGCCGGTAAGGTCAGGATAATTTTCCTTGGCCGATCTTATGCACTCAAAATGGACGGGTCGGGAGAGGGAGAGAAGATCGATCACACCTCAGATAACAGAATTTGGAAAATACGTGCCTGATAGGCAATGGTAACCACGTCAAGTAGGAAAACCCTGTCATCTGTTTAGTTTTATGAAGTACTTAGCTGCTTCTACTATGGTATCGTAAGACTACAAATAATCTAAGCTAAACCAATAACAAGTCTGATATGTCAATATACCGTATACGTAAGCTAGGCCGAATTAGCACATTTTCAAGCTCCCATTTTTCAAACGTTTCCAGGTGGTCTGGGTCCTATTTGTCCAGGTGGTCCGGGTCCAATCCCGTAGGCCCAACGACCCGTAGGACCAGCGACCCGTAGGACTATCCTGTACCGATAGTGAATGTGGGCTGGGATGGTTTGGGTTGTACTGGAGTTGCGCAGTATAATAGAATAGGATTATAACCACGTGCATCGCTACCAACTTCTGTGTATCCACTATTTCCGCCCCCAGTCCCACCATATCCACCTCCTCCGTATCTGCCTCCTCCGTTTCCACCTCCTCCGTAGCCACCTCCTCCGTATTCGCCTCCTCCGTATCTACCTCCTCCGTATCCGCCTCCTCCGTATCCACCGCTTCCGTCTCCATCTCTTCCATATCGACCTCCTCTGTATCTGCCCAGGTGTCTACTTCCTCTAAATGCATTGTCTTGATAAGCTCTTGATCCACTATGACCGCTAGGTCTATAAATAACAATAAAAAAGAAAGAATGAGCAAAAATCAACACAAGCTTTGCTCGTTTAAAAAAGGTCAGTATGCATGTACGTAGTACCACAGACTAACGGATACACAGACTGGACAAAACGCCAAAATAGAGTAATGCAATTGAATGGTGGCGCCGCCCAGCGAATGAAGCGGTACACTAAAAATCTGGCTGTGGTGACAGACCGTAGATGTGTAACGTTGTAACATTAAAAATGTCTCTATCGTTAATTCTAATATTTGGACTAGAGTTTAATTATACATTCCTGAATCTAGAAGGTCAAATGTTAGTCTTCAAGTCGATTTTGCTCTATTAAACGGCTATACATTTATTTTTACATGCAAAACGATCATCCACACCGTATCGCACAATGCGTAATGTGCACACGGTATACTGTGCTACAGTCGTAGTTTAATTTATTCCTTAGTCTGTGACCGGATTTGGTGAGATGTTTGTTTTTTCTACAAACAAAAATAATAAAGACGATATAATTTCCATATTTTTTACTCAAATACCATTAATCACATTTATTGCTAAGAAGCTTAATCACAAGTGCTGGAGCTTCAGAAATTTACGATTCTGCTTGTTTCTAGGTTGGGAGTGCAGGAGGGTTACTGACTTCTATCAGAGATGGAACTGCATCCTTTCTTAGCCTCTTGCATTTTTTGACTTGCCCTTGTGTGTTTAATAAAGGAGGAAGGAGGAAATGGAATTATGGAAAATAAGGTAAAATACAGACAGTTTGAATTTTTTATTAGCAAAATTATTCAGCATGTGTTGGTTTAGTTTTGATATTGCCATAAGCAATAATGATACACTTCAGTGCCCAGCAGTGAATATTTCTCAAACGTATTTTTCTGTTTATGTATATTTCATGAAATCAAGCCTGGTACATGTACAACGACCCATTAGTCACACGACGAGAAGCAGAGAAATCAATGTTTTTACTAATTTCCCATACTAATAGTTGTATTTTTAAATAGGTCAGCTGGACACATAAATTGAGATGCCTCAAATGATCCTCGCAAATTAGCAGATATTTGCATTGGCTGTCTTATAACCCGTCAATGTCGGCTCTTCTTATGTTGCAGATCCACTTCCGAAGTCTATGTACATGATCATCTACATGTGTCATGTAATGATGTGGTGTATTAATTATTTACAAATTGCATATCGTTTTAACTGGTATTTTTCACAGAACAAAGGGCAGCAGAATTACACATGATAGATAGATAGATAGATAGATAGATAGATAGATAGATTAATAGATAGATAGAGAGATAGATAGATAGATATATTCTATAGATATATAGATTCTATTATTATTCGCTCTGGATAATATAACTCTCTCGGTGCTAGTAGTTCGGCTGCGCTGGGAGGTACGGTACTTCTCACTAGCGGGGGGGGGCGAGAGTTTAGGACGATGTTGAACATTAAGGAAAGTATCCTTGCGACAGAGATCGATAGATAGACAGTCCGACAGATAGATAGATAGATCGACAGACAGACAGACAGACAGTCAGACACAGAGAGAGAGACAGACAGACAGACAGACAGACAGCCATACAGATTGATAAATACAGAAAGAGATCTAGAGAGAGAAAAAAAGAATAAAAAAGAGGAGAACTCGTATGCGCACTTGTTTGTTTTATGCACAGCCGCGGGGATCGGTGGGCGCGTACGGATTTAATGCGATATTGCAGCTTTACGTAGATTTACGCTGTCATGGGCCACGCCGAAGCTAGGAATTACGTAACGGGCTAGAGGAAGACGAGGTGATTATAGACAGACAAGAAAGACACAGAGAGAGAAAGACATGGGGAGAAATAAAGAGAGAGAGAGAGAGAGAGAGCGAGAGAGAGAGAGAATGAGAAAGCGAAAATATAGAGAGGGCCTATAGAAATATAGCCCTTCGCTCTGCCACAGGCGTGCGATATAGAGAGGGGGAGATGGGGAGAGTCAGCAGAAGGCGGATCAGCTAGGTTGTTGCTTCAGTTTGTGTCAGTACCCTGATAGCGCGATCCGACCTTCTGCGCTAAAACTTGTGAAAATGAGGCCACCTGTTCGCTCATGTGCATCTAATTGCATCTTCGCGCAAACTTTCGTTTTCCAGTTTTTTTTGTTGGCACGGCAGAATTCGGTAAGGTCCCGTATGTCGTTCGCAGGCAGTGATGATGATGATGCCGGCGACGGCCCCAAAGCTCGGCCGAGTTGCGCGAACATTGCACGCACCGCGCGTTTGTACTAAACCAGTTTTCCTACCGCAAAGCCGAAAAGCTTAGCAAAACACGGGCGCTGTGATTTTCACGGGGAAAAACATTTACAGAGAGCGAAAGACACAAGCGCTGTGTTGTTTGCTTGTTTGTCATAACTTCTCTCCCCTCGTCTCCCTCGTTTTTGCTGTGTGCGGGGTATGGTTGGGGGTATTCTGTATGAGATCTCGGGGAGAGGGGCGAAGCGAGTGGCACATGACACATGTAGATGATACATGGTACACTAGACTTCGGAAGTCGGGATCATGCACCATAAGAAGAGCGACATTGACGGTTGATAAGACCGCCAATGCAATATATCTGCTAATCTTGCGAGGATCATTTGAGGCATCTCAATTTTATGTGTCCAGCTGACTGCTATTGTAAAAATACAAACTAGTTAGGTATGGGAAATTAGTAAAAACATTGATTTCTCTGCTTCTCGTCGTGTGACTAATGGGTCCGTTGTACAATGTAGCCAGGCCTTGGATTTCAATGAAAATTATCATAAACAGAAAAATACGGGTTTGAGAAATATTCACTGCTGGGCCAACTGGAAGTGTAATCATTATTGGCTTATGGCTAATATAAACTAAACCGGCAACAGATGCTGAATAATTTTTGCTAATAAAAACTTCAAACATGTCTGTATTTTCCCTTATTTTCCATAATTCCATTTCCTCCTTCCTCCTTTATTCAACAGCATCAAGGGCAAGTCAAAAAG